CCTTTCTTATCTGCTAAACGATTCTCTGAACGTAGTTATAAAGCAAGGAAGTGCAGTGGCAATGCCCCGAACTCGCGAGCAAGAGGTCGTGGGAACGGCTCCTCGGAGAGTCTGTTTCTTTTGTGCTTCGTGAAGATGTAGCCAGAAAGCTTCTAACTTCTTAATTTATCAACTTTGCCGTTAGTTCCCTGTACGAAAAAATTTCGAGCAGTTCCTTGCAGGTTTGGGCAGTAGTCGTCCATGTATGAACATGGTGCCCGTAATGCAAGTGTCAGGCTTTTTCGCGGCAAACAGGCGTGATATTCGTGTTCAGGAGATCAAACTACCCTTGGAGATAAGTTTCCTACCGAATCTGAGATTTTGACCCAACCCTAAAAAATGAGGTGAGTCAACCATCATATCATCAACCTATCGTTGAACTCTTGGCATGGAAATTGCCCTTCCAACCAAGATTTTGAAAAGAGAAACGTTCAACGGCTCACATTTCCGCATAATGGAAATGATTTACATGACTCTGCATCAAAATTCAGGGAAGGTGCTTTTCCAGTTAGTTTTCGATTCATACCTTCTCTCGTTTGACTGTATGTTGACTGCCCTTTCTCGAGTGTAGGTCAAAATCTCAGATTCAGCTGGAAACTTGTAACCAGGGAAAATTCGGTCTCCTGAACACGAATATCATACTCGTTTACCGCAAAAACACCTTATCAGTGGGCTATGAGCGTCGTTTTCAGTCATGGCAAATATTAATTAAAAATAGCAATAGCTCAACTGCTACGTGATCGCTTAACTCCTTAAACAGACAGGTAAATGCAGCTATTGAGGAGAACTATCGCTAAAAGCCTTTTCTGGTCATGTTTTCAAAAAAGCAAAACAGCGGACATCACGAGGGACCGATCCCATGACCTCTCGCCCACAAGTCTGGAGCGTTATGCCGACTGGTACGGCCGCTGGGCCGTCAACCACGATGGGTCTCTTCCCGCTTGGTTTGTGGCGGTCGAACTCGCACCATGAGCACTCATATAGCAGCGTTTCAAATGGTGAGCGTGAGGAGGAAACTTCCGTAACTCCGTTCAGAGCACCGTTTAGCAGATAAGAAAAGCGGTTTCTAGCTTATCGTCTCAAGACGAATGCGTAGGTATACACCTCATTGCAAATGGCCGGACCGGCCTGGTGACCTTTCCTCGTGAGTCTAGAAAAGGACAAGTCAGATATTCTTGGGTATCGTGCTATATTTGAAAATTTTAGCCGCACTTGTTCCGTGAGCAGAACTGTGTTGTGCGAAGCGCTAACTGGTTGTTTATAACTCAACATCCTTATAATACCATTCCCCAGAAATCGCACTCGTCTGTCACAACCTAAAAAGTCATTGTCATGATACTCTACAGTACTCCATTACTCCTTCCATTCTGTAACTGTTTAGATAAATCTTCGAACTACACTACACACCTCAGCTCAACAATTTATCCTCGATAGACCAGGTACTTTGTTTGCACTCAATTTTCACAATCAGGTATAAACTCCAATGAATACTGCCTAAAACATAGGGTTTCTGTGCTGCAAGCAGGACGGTGAATTGTTTGATTTTGAAGTGTCAGGGGAGATCTAGGAAAATCACCATATCTGGCAAGTGGAAGGCTAAATCGGCCTATTTTGAGATAGTTCCTTGATCATGATTGCCATCAAAATGGATCTCAACAGTTTTTAAAGAATTAGAAGGCGAACGGGCCTGAACTATGTAGCCTTCAGGTGAAACCACGTCGTTGAAAATACCATTCTTCGTCGGTGATCGTCTTCCTATTTCGACTACCGTACATTTGGCCGCCCACTGCTCAGGAACACAAGGTATCATATAACACTTCTCGGTGCAAACCTAGATGAGGGGAGCAACACGGTGGCGCGGCGTCTGCTCGTCTGCGCACTCCAAGGCTTAGTCCTGAGAGGCCTTTACCATAGCAGCCGACAGGCATTTTCGAAGTACAGTGGAAGCGCGGACTAAGCCTTCGGAGCGCAAACGACAGAGCGCCGCGCCGCCGCGTGACCCCCCTCAACTACGTTAGCACCCACCTCATTGCGCCGTTCCATACCAAATGATCATATCTTTTCAGCAACAGCGTTTGCCTCAGTTCGCCTTCCATTTGCCATGATGTTCGCCGAGACGTCCCCAGAACGGAATGCTTCTTACAAACTCACTCTAGACTCGGACCAACCTTGTCTAGCACTCAACACACTCTTCACCGGTCAGCAGACCTAATACATTGGTGTAGTTACATCCATTGTAACAGCTATATTTTCAGAATTTCAAACGGAAAACCCGTCATCAATTGGTTTTCGGGTTCATGGACACGATGCTACTGTCTCGGTTTTCGCTGCGCACAAATCCAGTTGGACATTTTTTTTAAATTTCTCAAAATACAACATTTTGAGTGCTCATCGAAGCATTGGAGGAAGTGGTCGTGATAAATCCCGTGGGAACAGATGGGAAAGATGCCTAGTCAATTGGCTAGGAGATCTACTCAACGAGACAATACGTGGCGCTTCTGGCGTGATAAGGGCGCTCTAGAACACGAAGCCTTCAACTACGGCGTGGTTGGATCTTATGTCTCCACCGCTCTTCCCCCCCCCACCAGAGTCAACCCTGCGTTGCGCAGTTCTCAACGGCCACGTTGCGCAGTTTCGCCCGATTAGACACGTTCTCTCGCGCGAACATTCACACTCGCATGCTCGAGCCGTCTGCGTCTCCGCCCATACAGCGTGCGTTGAGGATCTCTCAACGTGCCGTTGCGAACTGCGCAACGCAGGGTTGACTCTGCGCTCCCCACCTTTCCTCTCCCATTACAGAGGAGCCGAAGGTGGCAACGGCAGCGTACTCATATTCACCATACATTGTCGCGTTTCTCCGTCTGGAGTGCACCTCGTACTTGAGCGTATCTTCTCCCCGTACTGTATCGTATCTATGAGATACACTCGTCCAGCTATTCTCTATCCCAATCTTGTCCCTTTCCGTCAATGGCCTGTAGAAATTTTATCCACCTCTACTCCAACGCGATCATTTCATTCAAATAAGCAGTATAATGGCATACAAACCCGCGGAACAACAACCTCCATTACCATTTTTTTCAGACCGATACCGAGTCCAGACCGACCATCCACAGTTGTTAAATGTGGTCGTCAGTGAGCTTGTCGAGCGTATCCGTTTGCAACAGCCTCATGCTCAACTTCATGCCAATATTCCAATGAGCTACATCAACACCAAATTGGAAGAGCTCATAGAAGTAAGCGTATTGATAGTTAGAAGATGATCTCGCAACAGCAGTGGTTACGCCCGTTTTAGCTGGAGGCGAAAAATGACGCCGGTAAGAAGGTGATCGGAGAGCGATCCCGAGAAATGCGAGCAATCGAGGCACTGATCCTCAGCAAGACCAGAAACACCAAACCAGAAACGTTTGATCACATTGACTTACTGTACAGTGAAGCTCACGATCAGGTCAGCTTTTTACAATCCCCACCAAAATAGCGCACCTCAGCCGCTTTCTTTAGTTGTTCGCAGCGATCGATGAGTTGAACACGGTACGCGAACGTACACAAGAGATGCAGCTCACTCTCGCATCACTATTCGATCTGGTCGCCCTTCTGATGCACCTCGGTGGAGCGGAAATCGCCCTCAATGGCAATTTCATCACTGATACAGAACAGGTTTTCGCCGAAGTCATCTCCAACCACTTTCTTTTTTCGAAATCTATATTTACAGACACTGGAAGACCGCCTATCATACGCGTCTCATGTATCGAATGATCCTTCTCGTGCGATTGCAGTTCTCTGTCAGCACACAGAAAAGGAGCTTCCTCAAATTAAAGAAGAAGATGTTGAAGAAGAAGATGATTTTGACACGTTTCATACGGGAAACATAAAACTTTAATCTACCAGATCTTTGCTATGCTCGAGAATTAGACCGTGCAGAAGCACAAAAAAGCGTTTTAACACCGAACACGAACACCTATGAGATCTTCACTTTTGAACTTTCAAAATAGAAGCATTTTCGTGTCTTCAAAATTCAAGTGCGTAATTCATAAGCGGCTTGTAATTAGTTGACTATCACTGCGAAAAAAAAAACAAAATAATAACAAACAATATTTGTACATCATGAAAGTGCAGCAGAAACACTTGGACAAAAGCGCTTGCAAAATTCGCAGAGACGAAATTCATCCGTGAAAGCTGTGACGCAGGGGTCATTTCAAGGTTCTGAAGCAAGGCTTCACTACTAGCATGACAGTGTCGATGGGGTTCTAGAAGTACACGATACTACAACTTGTTTGTTATATTTTACAAACTTGTATTGAATGGACTTCTGTAAATCCAAGAGCTTCTGCTGCGCACTGCATAAACAAAAAATCAACAAAAACATAACAAAACGACTACCACTTTGACTCAAGCTAAATCGAAATCATCGCGTGCATTGTTGTAGTCCAAGACATGCTGCTTAATCTTGCTGGCATTTGTCCAAGTGATTGCGTCTTCCTGGTTCCGTGTCACCATAAATGCTGGATCGGTAACCAACTTCGGGCCAATACGAACATGACCTTGTTCCACCTAGAATAATACTTGATCATACGCAACCAAAGCAAAGAATAAAAATTCAAGCAAATAAGATGGTTGTTTATTGGGTTAGTAGGAAACTTACAAAGTCGCTTGCTTGACGAATGCTGTCTACCATTCCAATTTTTTTCATCACCACCGGCAAACGACGTCTGGCAAAAGAAGCCGCAGATACCTTAAAAATTGTTGTTAAAAAATTAAGCTTGTCCTCCAACTATGCCCATTTCCTTTCCAAAACGGCCGCCGAGTAAAACGGGTAGTAAATGTTTTCGAAGAAAAGATAAATGGTGCAACTCTATATTTCACACTTCTTTCCTGAAATTTCCGCCAAACACGTCCAAAGTCTGAACTTTGAACAATTGACACTTGACC